ATTGATTTTTTTTTTTTTTTTTTTTACCGAGAGGAAAGAGGAGGGATAGAGAGTTAGAAACATTGATGAGAGAGAAACATCTATCAGCTGCCTCCTGCACACCCCCTACTGGGGATGTGCCCACAACCAAGGTACATGCCCTTGACCGAAATCGATCCTGGGACCTTTCTGTCCGCAGGCCGACACTCTATCCACTGAGCCAAACCGGTTAGGGCTCATCATTGATGTTTCTATCTCTCCCTCTTCCTTCCTTTCTGAAATCAATAAAAATATATTTAAAAAAAAGATTTCAGGAGGGGATGGTTCAATGTGTTGACCAGACTCAGAGTTCTGATATGAGTTGCTGTGGTAGAGTAAGGGAATGGAGTTTTTTTGAATTGGAATTTGTTGTTGTCTATCAATTATGAATAAGGTTATGGTGAAAATCTCCCACTATGAAGGCAAAATTGTCAGTTTTTCCTTAAAGTTCTGCCAATTTTTGTTATATATTTTTAGTCTATTATTAGGTGTATGTACAATTATAGTTTTCATACGTGCTGTTGAATCAAACCTAACCCTTTGTTGTTAAAAATGCTTTTTGTTTTAGTTTATTTTGTCTGATATTGACATTGCTACTCTTACTTTATTTTGGCTAGTAGTTGCTTGGTTTATTTCTAGCTTGGTTTTTAAAAAAATCCTTTTTTCCGCTCACATGCCTTAGATGCCCGATAGATTGCCCCGCCGATGGCCTGGGCTTCCCTCTGCAGGACAATCATGAGGCAATGGCCAGGCCACCAACCAATTGCATCGCACCCATCTTGGTTGGCCTGGCGCCAGTGGGTGTCCTAGTGTGGTTGTCCAGAATGTCGTCTGGACAGTCATTCTGCTTTTTGGTCATTTGGTCAATTTACATATTATGCTATCATTATTATAGAATAGAGGCCCGGTGCATGAAGTTCCTGCACTTGGGGGTGAGGGATATTCCTCAGCCCAGCCTGTGCCCTCCTGCCTGGGAGCCCTTGGAGGATGTTCAACTGACGGCTTAGCACTGCTGCAGAGGTGGGAGCATCTCAGGCTGTGAGTTTGGCTTATGGCTGAGTGGCGCTCCCCCTATGGAAACACACTGACCACCAGGGGGAAGCTCCTGCATTGGACGTCTGCCGCCTGGTGGTCAGTGCGTGTCATAGCAACTGGTCATTCTGCCATTCGGTCGATTTGCATATTAACCTTTTATTATATAGGCTAACATAATATTTATAGTTTTGGTTTCTTAAAATATATTTTTATTAATTTCAGAGAGGAAGGGAGACTGGGAGAGAGATAGAAACATCAATGATGGGAAAGAATTATTGATTGGCTGCCTCTTGCATACCCCCCACTGGGGATCAAGTCCACAACCCAGGCATGTGCCCTGATCTGGAATCGAACCATGACCTCCTGGTTCATAGGTCAATGCTCAACCACTGAGACACGCCAGCCCGGCCATTGATAGTTTTGAGTATTCTTAAGTATATGATTTATTGGTTTTAGTTACATTCACACTGTTGAATAATATCACTACTATTTCCAGAACTATTTCATTACCCTAAGCAGTAACTCCCTATTTATCCTCCCCACAGCCCCTGATAACCTCTAATCTACTTTATGTCTCTATGAGTTTGACTATTCTAGTTATCTCTTATAAATAATACCATAAAATATTTGTTCTTTCGTGTTTGGCTTCTTTCACTTACCATAATGTCTTCAAGGATCATCCACGTTTTAGCATGTGTCAGAACTTTATGGCTGAATAATGTTCCATTGTATGTATCTGCAATGTTTTGTTTATCCTCTCATCTGTTGATTGATTCTTGAGTTGTTTCCACTTTTCAGCCAACATGAACAATGCTGCAATGAACACTGACATACAAGCATATGTTCAAGTCCCTGCTTTCAATTCTTTTGGATACATACCTAGGAATGGAATTACTGTATCTCTGAGGTTTATAATTTTGATAAATCAGCATACTGTTTTCCACAGTGGCTACCCCATTGTACCTTCCCACCAAGTGTGCGAGGGTTGCAATTTCATCACATCTTCACCAATAGTTATTTATCGAACTTTCTGATTATATCCATTCAAGTGGGTATACAGTGGTATCTCATTGTGACTTTTATTTGCATTTCTCTAATGATTAGTGATATTGAGCATCTTTTCTTCTTTGGAAAAATGTCTATTTGGAACCTTTGTCTATTTTTAAATTGAGTTGCTTGTCTTTTTATTATTGGGTTATAAGTGCTCTTTCTATATTTTAGGTAGAAGTCCCTTATCAGATATCTGATTTGTCTGGGAGGTATAACTAAGCTAGAATCACTTTAAATTCTTTGCTTGAGGTTTTCTTAGTCATATCCCAAGTGTAAATTCAAACTACAGACCTACTTAGGGCCCAGCTCATGGTTATAAATTATTGGGAGAGGCTTGTCCTGTGGTATATAAGAGTGGATGAATGATGATTAATATGGCTGACTCTCCTTTACTTTTGATATCATACTGGATTTGTTCATAAACTGAACTAATTGCAATATGAATGAATTCTCTTTACATATACTTTGTCAAAAAGGGGAAATAGTAAAGCATGCTTTCCCCTTTCTTATTATAATTCAATAGACTTGAGTTCTTCCAGGCAGGAACTGATGAGCCTTTTACAATCCAAGTTTTCGGTAACACAACATGGCACACAGATTGTGAACTTCATAAGAGCAGACCTTTTTGTCTGTTTTATTTACTGCTCAATAAATATTTGTTCCATGAGTGAATTAATGAATAGGAGGAACTACTCATAAATGCTTGTTAAATCATTTGTGATACAGTTCAATAGTTTTCATGATGCTAACTAGAGAGTTTCTTGCTCAGCTGGAGGGAGGGAAGGTGACCTACTTTTTATCTTTTTCTTCTATATTAAAAAAAAAATATTGTCCTAGCCAGTCTAACTCAGTAAATAGAGCATTGGCCCATGGACTGAAGGGTCATGGGTTCGATTCTGGTCAAGGGCACATAGTACTTCGGTTGTAGGCTTGATCACTAGCCGTGGGGCACGTGCAGAAGGTAACCGATTGATGTGTCTCTTTCACATTGGTGTTTCTCTATTTCTCTCCCCTTCCCTTCCACTCTCTCTAAGAATCAATGGAGCCCTAGCCGATTTGGCTCAGTGGATAGAGTGTCGGCCTGTGGACTGGGGGGGTCCCAGGTTCGATTCCGGTCAAGGGCATGTGCCTTGGTTGCGGGCACATCCCCAGTGGGGAGTGTGTGGGAGGCAGTTGATCGATGTTTCTCTCTCATTGATGTTTCTGGCTCTCTGTCCCTCTCCCTTCGTCTCTGTGGAAAATCAGAAGAATATATTTAAAAAAAAAAGAATCAATGGAAAAATACCCTTTGGGTGAGGATTAAAAAAGAAAGAAAGAAAAATAAACTTACAAAAAAAGAATAAATATTTATTCGAGTATAATACACATATAGAAAATTGCCTGTATCATAAGTGATCAGCTTAATAAATTTTCATAAACTAAATGCATTTGTGCAAATATCACCCTGATTAAGAAATCAGGAGCCTAACTTTTAAAAGCATTACTTCAGATAAGTCATTTTATGTAATTTGGTGGGAGCCTGATTCTAGAGTGACTCAGATATGGTGGTTAGGTATTTGCCAGAAAGGCATTTGTAAAGTCTTAGGTACATTTAAGTTTTTCCTTTCTAGATGGGATTAAAGGAGAATGTCAGATGTCAGATTTCCTATGCTGTATGTGCATAGGGCAAGTGATTGTGTGACACATGCTTCTGTTTCATACCCAATATAATAGTGTTACTAAAGGTTCATATTTTAGGGGTGTGAAATAATGAGGTGTTTTTTTTTGTTTTTGTTTTTTCTACTGGAAGTTATATTTTGTGTCGAATATGGCAGATGTGGTCATAATATGTATTCTTTCCTTAAAAAGAGGATCCTATATCTAAATTCATTTTTCTTACAAGTATGTCCAGAGTCTTTCTGAATCCATTGCTAAGAGGCAATGTGTAATGCCATACTTTAGAGTTTACACTTTAGAGTCATGACTACAAAATACAAATTTGTTTTTAAAAAGTTTGTTTTTGTTACCTTCTTCAGTTCTGTTTAATAATTTATTTTTCAATTTGCTAATGGAGTGTGGCTCCATTCCAATAAAGTTGATTTACAAAAACAGGTGCACTGGAGTTTGCTGACCTTTCATCTAAAATAAAACCTCAAAAAGTGGACACTCAAATGGAAATGGTATGAGGGAACCAGTCATTCAGTAATTTAAGTAATACATTTATTGAGTGTGTGCTATTTGACAAGCCCAGGACTAAATGGTAAATTAAATTATGGTATTATATCCACTCACTGGAATATTGAGATAATTGAAAATGACCATTTTAAATAACAAATAACATGATAATTCAGGGTAAAACTTTTGTTTGTATCTTAATAAATATTGGCTTTTAGAAGGAATATATGAATTTTTGTTAGGTAGAAGGTGTTTTTCTATTTTTCAGACTGCCTGCAATGTTTTTAGATACCAAAAATGATTTTTTTTTTTTTTTTTTTAATATATTTTATTGATTTTGTACAGAGAGGAAGGGAGAGAGATAGAGAGTTAGAAACATCGATGAGAGAGAGTCATCGATCAGTTGCCTCTTGCACACCCCCTACTGGGGATATGCCCGCAACCAAGGTACATGCCCTTGACCGGAATCGAACCCGGGTCCCTTCAGTCCCCAAGCCGACGCTCTATCCATTGAGCTAAACCGGTCCCGGCCCAAAAATGATTTTTTAAATGCCATCATGGATACGAGTTAAAACTTGTTTTTAATCACTACTGTGTAGTATGATAAAGAGAAGCTTTATTGTTCAGTGATGTCTTTTTTACTTAATTAGTATAAAATCTATGTTTAAGGAGAATGTATTGCTGTCCTATTCAAGATGCATTGTCATTTCTCTCTTTTTAAAAGTTTTTTTTTTTTTTAACAGTGCCCTTATGTCTGCCATTTCTTATATTTACTTACCAAAAAAGAGAATGGTAAGTGTTTTTTATTACAGTTATATTACATTCACTCTGTGGAATTAGTATTTGTATTGGCTTGATAAAATTAACTGTTAGCATTAGTTTTATGACAAGATTTTGTGTGAATTACTTTTTAGTACTTTTATCTAAGAGCCTTTGCTTAATGGTTAAATGAACAGGATGTTTATATTATTGATGTGTTGTAAGAAGAAGCTATATATATGAGCCACATGGATTCTTTTTTCTGAACCACATACATAGTACTTCTTTTTTTTTTTTTTAACCTTTACTTAGTCAAGCCATTTCGTGTGAGAAAACTGCTTGATCTTCAGGCAAAAATGGTGAGTACCAAAAAGACCCCAAACTAGCCAGTATACTCTGTGATCAGTATTGGGCTAGGCTTTGAGGATTTATTTTATTTTTTTAAACTTTGAGACGATACTTTAATCTACAGTTTATACTTCAACTTTTTCCACTGCCCAATCATGCCCTTTAATTTCTTTATTGATTATGGTATCACATAATTGTCTTCATCCCCCCCATTCCCATCCCAAACCACGTATTGCCGCCGCCCCCCACCCCATTGTCCATGACCACTGGTTAGGCTTATATGCATGCATTCAAGTCCTTTGGTTGATCTCTCTCCCTTTCCCCTACCTTCCCTCTGAGGTTTGGCAGTCTGGTCGATGCTTCCCTGTCTCCAGGTCTGTTTTTGTTCATCAGTTTATGTTGTTCATTATTTCCCCTAAATGTGTGAAATCATGTGATATAAGAAATTCAGTACACTTATAAGAACTGAAAATGAGACTAGGCTTTGGGGATTTAAATGGAATGAATTACTACCTTCAAGGAGCTTTTTGACTAGGCAACTCAATCAACAAAATAAAACTGGGTCAAGGAGGAGTGGTGATGCTTGAGATAAATTTTAACAGATGAATAGGATTTAACGGGGCTAAGAAGGAAGAGCAGGACACTCCTGACAAAAGGAATGTAAGCATGAGCAAAAATGTAAAATAGCAGAAACTGTTTAGGGAACTGGGTTGGTATGGCTAGAAAATAAGTGTCAGGGAGTAGTAAGAAACAACTACTTTATTTTATTAAAATAAAGTGACTGGTTTATTTTTTGTGTGAATGTGATAGAAAGCATTCTTTCTGGATACTTAAACTTCCGTATATTCCTTGACCATTATCTTTTGTCCTTATAACTCTCTTGCATTGTCATCTCCACTGTACCTGCCAGGTAACAGAAATCTGTGAACCTTTGGGTATAACACAGTAGGAAGTTGTAGTGCCTATGCCTAAGTGCTGCAACCTGCATGATCTACCTGAAGGCATTCAAATTTAATGAAAAACACAAACTCATGTGCACATTCGTGCTTCTCTAGTGTGAGGTTTCCTATTAGTACAATTAAGTGATTGTTCTTGTTTTATAGCATCCAGTTTTGCTTCTATGGGTACAATATTTCTCTTAGCTCTGCGAGGATATTAATGACAATGTTTTTGTCCAAATTGCATTTCCCCTGACATTAATAAAAATTGTGAAGATGTACTTTTTCCATCTTAACAGCAAAACATTTCAACTGAAACAGTGTATGTTCAAGTGTATGATTTAGTACATGATTCTAAAATTTTAAAACATAAGCATTAATTGTATGGCTTCATTATTAGCATTCTATATAATATATTACTAAATTATTTCATTATCAATGCCCATTTATAAGGATATATTCATAAAATTGTTTTGATTAGCTGGATTTTGTTAAATTTGTTTAAGTCCAATAATATGAAGCCTAGAAGACATAGTCATGCTCACATGTAACTGAACATATAGAATGGTAATAGCCATAATCAGCACCTGAGCACAAATATATTGGATATGTAAATTTCTTGAATTTCTGGTATCAACTCCATATAAAGGCCTGTATCCCTTCTATACCCACCCATGACCCATAACTTTTGATCCACAGAGGAAACAAAATGCAGAAATAGTCTTTCTGGTGGCAAGCATGAATAGTGGGATCTGGAGTAGGCATGTTGTTATTTTAAAAGTACAAGGACTACCCAGCCAATGTGGCTCAGTGGTTGAGTGTCAACCTATAAACCAGGATGTCATGGTTCGATTCCCAGTCAAGGCACATGCCCAGGTTGTGGGATTAATCCCCAGTGTGTGGTGTGTAGAAGGAGCCAATCAGTGATGATGTTTCTCTCTTTCTTTTTCTCTCTGAAATCAATTAAAAATTATATATACTTTTTTAAAAAAGCACCAGTGCCTGTTGAGAACCATCTTTGGAACAGGAAGGGGGAGTTAATCTTAAAGGTTGGTGAGGATGGTTTCTGGGATTCTCCCTCTATCAGGCATGAGCTTGTGTGACTAAGGCTGTGATTTTTATTTAATATTTTCAGATTTATTTCCTTAGCATTCCTTTCTTTAGTTTTTTTCATGGTAGAGGCTTTTCTCTATTGCCTGGTAAACCTAGTTTGTTCATTTGTAATAAAACACTAAAATGTTGATTGGAGACTTGTGTGTGTGAGCAGGACTTGTTCATTGTCAGCTCTTGATGTTTCTCTCATTGGGGAGCCCCCTAGATGACTGTGTCATTTTTCCAAGAGGGAAATTCTATCTCTCCCGCCTGTGGGTTGTATTAGGCCTCTCCAGAGAAACAGAACCAATAAGATATGCATACAGGGTGGGGCAAAAGTAGGTTTACAGTTGTTTACAGTTAATGTGAAGTAAAATGCAATTTGGAAAAAAACATAGTCATTAATATCCTTGCAGAGCTAAGAAAAGAAGATATTGTACCCATAGAAGTAGGAAAACAATGCAATAATTAATAAATAATGCAAGAATAAACTGTGTCATATGCTCATAACTGTAAAACAACTTTAGCCCCACCCTGTATATGTGTGTATTTACACTAATAAAAGAGAAACATACAAATTGATAATCCCTCTGCTACACCCACCAGCCAATCAGGAATGAGTATGCAAATTAACCCAACAAAGATGACTGCAGCCATCAAGCTGGAATGAGGAGGAGGCTGGAGTTGCCCCCGGTGACAGAGAGCCAAGCCTCCTGTTCACTCCATGGCCACAGCCATTTCTATTGGAATTTATTTAACTTCTACAATTGAAACTTTGTAGCCTTAAGCTGAGGCCTGGGCCAGCCAGGGTGTGTGGAAAGCTTGGCTTCCTCCATTGCCCGGGGAAGGGGGGGGGCAACCCTTGCCTCCTGCTCTCTCCAGGTGCCTGGCTGCCTCCATTTCTTTTGGTATTTATCTTCTATAACTGAAACTTTGTAGCCTGGAGTGGAGGCCTCAGCCAGTCAGAGCAGGTGGAAAGCTTGGCTTCTTCCATCGCCAGGGAAACCCAAGCCTCCCTCCTGCTTGCTCAGTGGCTGCAGCTATCTTGGTTGAGGTTTATTTGCATACTTGCCATGATTGGCTGGTGGGTGTGGCTTGTGGGTGTAGTGCAGTGGTGCTTAATTTGCATTACTCTTTTATTAGATAGAACTAGAGTCCCGATGCATGTAATTCTTGCACTGGAGGGGGGGGTGTTCCTCAGCCCAGCCTGCCTCCTCTCACAGTCTGGGAGCCCTCAGAGAATGTCCTACTGACAGCTTAGGATATGACTGATCTTTCTTTCTTTCTTTTGTTTGTTCGTTCATTCGTTCGTTCCTTTCTTTCCTCACCTGAGATATTTTTTCATTGATTTTTTTGGAGAGCTTGGAAAGAGAGGGAAAGACAGAGAGAAACATCAATGTGAGAGGGACACTTCAATTGGTTGCCTCCTGCCTGAGCTCTGACCTGGGCCCCAGCCAGGGAGAAGCCTGCAACCTTGGTACATGCCCTTGACCAGAATCAAACCTGGACCCTATGGTCAGCAGGCTGAGGCTCTATCCACTGAGCCAAACCACCTAGGGCAGGATATGACATTTCTTAGAGCCTCCAGCAGCGGACCTTCATTTTTTCCTCCAGGAGTGAGGTGGAAAAACCCTAGGTCACCTTCTTGGATTCTTATTACTCAATTTACCAAGAACACTGTGAGTGGTGTACTGGGTGCTTAGCCAATGAGTGGTCAGAAAAGGTGTTTCCTCTGCAGCTCACGCACAGAGGCGGGACTACCAGCGAGGGCTTGCTCTCAGCTGCAGCAGCTGTGAGCATGTCCTCTCCCCTCTCCACGCTTCCCTTTCCCCTCTCCCCTCTGGGCCTGTGCTTGGCTGCAGAGGCTGCAGACAGGCCCATCCTCTCCTCTCCTGGCCTGTGCTTGGCCATGGAGGCTTCGGGCAGGCCCACCTTCTCCTCTTCGGGCCTGCTCTTGGCTGTGGTGGCTTGGGCAGGTCCCCTGTCTCCATGTCCTTTTCCACTCCGGGCCTCACCTGCGTGCACAGTCTCCTTCTGACTGGTAGTGACTTTTATGGCATCCTGGCTAATTTACATATTGCCTCTTTCTTTATATAGACTAGAGGCCCAGTGCACAAATTCGTGCACAGGTGGGGTCCCTCGGTCTGGCCAATGATTGGGGCCCATCAGGCTGTCTTGCCTAGTCCCAATGAGGGCCGATTGTGACCAGCCTGCTGTGGGGAGGGACCACAGGAGGTTGGCTGGTTGCAGGAGTTGGGCTGTGGGAGCATACTGACCACCCAGCTGGCCATGGGGTTGGGGGGGATGGACAGCGAGAAGTTGGCTGGCCGTGGGAGGTTGTCTGTGAGAGTGCACTGATCAACAGGGGGAAGCTCCTGCATTGAGCATCTGCCTCCTGGTGGTCAGTGTACATGATAGCGACCAGTCATCCAGTCATAACAGTCTCTTAAGCTTTCTTATAGATAGATAGATAGATAGAATATTGTAAGTTTCTAATTGAATGAGCCCACCTACATTATGGAGGACAATCTTCTTTACTCAAAGCTCATTGATTTAAAAGTAGATCATCCAAAATACATTCACAGAAACACCCAGAATAATGTTTCATCAAATACCTGGGCACCCCATGGCCAAGCCAAGTTGAAACAAAATCAATAATCATAGGGATAGGAACCTGGCTACTAGGATTCCAAGACATAAGCCATGGAAAGGGGTGGAGAGAGGTCCTGGTTACACCCTCCCTCCATTGTGCCTGATATCTGAGTCCAGCTTCATCTTTAGAGAGTAAAACCCTGATGTTTGCCTAAAAGTGTAGTGAAGGAATTTGGGGTCTAACTGCTTTTCATGTAGGCTTCCAGCCAATCCTGTTTCTTGACCCTCTTGCAGCTCCACTTTTCAGAGGTAATCTGGTTTCACAAATTCCAAGTCTTTCTGGGGGTTCTCAAGCATGAATATTTTGAGGCATTTTTCTGTTGCTGCTTTAGGCTTCATTTTCTCTGTTCTGTTAAGTTGGTTGTTATTTGTTCATCTTCATTCTAGGTTTCAAAATCTTGTTGAGATCTCTGATTTTCTGTTATCTCCTCTCTTGTTCTCTTTGAACTTTTGTTTTAAGCCTTTTTCATTCCTTTACTTTTTAGTAAATGGGTCTTTGGGAGGACCCAGAATTAAACACATATGTTCAGTATGCCATGTTTAACTGGAAGTTTCCCTTTTTTGGAAAAGAATGCTAACTTTTTAACAACAAAGATAGGTTTAGTTAAGTTGGCAATAAATTCTAAAGTTCTCTCTACTACTAAATATTTGCTCTATCAAAAACATTTAAACTGGAAGCAAACACTCTGATACAAATTGACATGAGTACATGCTCAAAGGTCAGAAGATAATTCAGCATAAACTGGGCCATTTGGTTTTAATAAAATAAATTTAATTTCAAGAAGCTGTTATAAAGTAGGTATACTGTATTTCTAAGCCTCATATTCTGCCTCCCTTATTTTATACAGTATTTGTTTCAATAAAATTGTACTATGATAAAGCATTTTGTTTATTTCCTTGAAATTCATTTTAGTTGTACACTAGCTCTGGGTAGTCAGATATATCAAACACGCGTATCCAGCAGTAATGACTCCTATCACTGTAAAATTAATGTTTTTATTAAGACTTATTTCAGTTATAGGAATCTGCTTTGCTGCTGCATACTAATTGTTAGATTTCCTAATCAATTTTTCAGGCATTATGATAATGTATTAATATTTCCTTTGCTCTCTTTTATTGGCTTCCCTGCTTGTCTTCTGTCTTCCTATTCAAATCAAAGAGTGAATAAACTTTGAGTCATGAATATGTTACCCCTGAGAATAAGCTGTGCTAGCAGGTATCACTTGTAAGCTTAAGGTGTGGGCAAAGAAGAAGAGAGAAAATATAAGGAAAAACTGAAATAGAAGAATAACTCATAAAAGCGAAGATAACATGTTGGCAAGGGTTGTTTTATAATAGTTGATTTAAATGCCTGGTTATTCATTTCTTGATTTTCTATAACATCTTCATAAAGCGTAATGCATAGTAAAATTAGGATCTGAATATATGCACAATCTGTTTATTTATTGTTACTCTTTTTTCTTATTGACCACAGAATTGAAAATTGAAAACTTTTATTTTATTTCAGGGAAGGCAGCCTTATCTCCATGCTTTGCTGTCGCTGTATAAGTTCTTCGTTCCCACTTTGATTTCTGTATCATTGCCTATGAAGAAGGTAAGGGATTAAGGAGTGATAAATCATATTGAGATTGAAATATGTTATTTTTTATTAATCTACATATTTGGACTGAAATGTTTATAGCATAGTATTTTTAAAATTTATTTTAAACATATTTTTAAAATACGTTTTTATTGATTTGAGAGATTGGAAGAGGGAGAGAGAAACATAGATCAGCTACTTTCTGTACATCCCCAACTTGTGATTGAGCTTGCAACCTGGGCTTATGCCCTGACCAGGAATGGAACCGGTAACGTTTTGGTGAACAGGATAATGCCCAACCAATTGAGTCACACTGGCCAGGGCAGCATACTGTTTAAGATCTAGTATTATACTTCTTCTGGGGAGTATTTTTAGGGTTTGGCACTTTGATTCCTTTTGATGTATTTGATAGATTCTTGATAAGTAAAAAATCTTTTAAGTGGATTTGCATGGGTGCAAAATATTTTATAATCAGTATAATTTCAATTAATGGAAAGTTTTAGATTTTATGTTGCTTCAGCTTATAGGTACTTACTCTGATTTATTTGACATCCAAATTTATAGATCTATTTTAAGAATCCAGAGAATTTGTGGAAGACAGCTCTAGTTGCTGTGAGGCAAAGGAATCAGGAACCTTCTCCAGAACCTCTGAAGCTGATTTTAGGTGCAGCTACTGTCCGTCCTAGTAAAAGAGTAAGTATCTAAAATCTCAAATGATTTTTTGAGGCCATCGTTTATTAACTCCAAACAATAACCATTCAGATGTTAGAAGAGATTATAGATATTTAAATACGTTTTCATTATCCAGGATTCTATGCAAATCACATTCAGACTCCATTTTATTGAACTACTTTAACTGCTTTTACATTTATAGTTTATAGTCTGTTTAGTTTATTGATATATTTTATTTTATTTCTTCTTTAGAAATGGGATTCTCATTCACTTATACCAGTGCTACATTCCAATATCCAAAGTAAAGAATATGGAAAAAAAGGGATGAGTCTTTCTGATTATCTCAGTAGGAATAGAGCATTTTCAGCAGAACAGCTTAAAAGCTTCCCTCAACTCTTACAGAACATTCATTGCTTAGAGGTATGTGACTGGACCATGTACTTATCTTTTGTTTATATATTTGCTAGCTGATGATTTACTTGTTGCTCTAACCTACTTTTTACATACTTAGGTTGACTGATTGCTCTGTCTTTGCAGCTGCCTTCTCAGATGGGTGCAGTGCTAAACAACTCTTTGCTACTTCACTATATTAACTGTATCAGAGATGAATCACTTTTACTGAGGCTCTATCATTGGTTGAGTCAAACGTTACAAGAAGGTAAAAATTGATGCTTAAAAGTTGGATGATTAAGGAAAGTACACCGTAGTTTACAAATGAGTTTCTTTTATAAAGATGCCAGATTCTGGACAGGAGTAGCCTTCATATGCTATCATTATTTCTTGGATATCAATCATATTCACAGCCTGAATGCCTCCATTTTTGTAATTTTAAGGGCAGTAAGAAAGGAGGTGTGCTGTTAAGGAAATATTTCTTGGTTGTCACCAAAACCCACTGGATGGCTCCACTTTGATGACCATCATAGTGCAAGGCCTCTGCATCTTTGTATGTCCAGAAACTTGCCTTTAAGCCCTCAGAACCTACAGATCAGTGCTAACCAAATCCAGAGGATATTGTTGTATAAATCAGACTGTTGCCTTATTATTGCATACTAGAAGTGATTCTGGTGACCAAAATGTTCATTTTTGCCAACTAGAGTATCTCTTCTCTGTTATGAGTATAAGTTGGAGCCAAATTAGTCATTAGATTTCTTAATTATAGAATTAAAGGAAAGGGCAGTGAGGGAGTTTTTCATATAGGCGATAGTAAATACTGAAAATTTGATTCCTCTAAGTGAGTTGATTTCTTTAGAGATTATATTTTGTTTACTAGAGCGTTTCTTTCCTGAATAAGCAACTCCTGACTCTTCATAAATAAAAGTCTATTTTAGTTGGTTCCAAATTAACACTTCTTGCTCTACTTGGAATTTTTCTTTAGGTAGGATATGATACAGTTATTAGATTTATATGTAGTAAAGCCCAACTCACCCTAATTGAAGCTTAGGGAATTCATAAATTTACTTATTTAGTTATTTATTTTAACAAGTGTTTTAATGTTTTTTATAATACTTAAAACTGTTGTTGCTTAATAAATGGAAGTTTTCATGTAAAAAATAATATTAAGAATTTAAAAATTGTACTCTATTCACTTGACCCAGAAAACCACAAAATCATGCAAATTGAGAGGTTCAAATCTTCGTGTTCACTTTGGAACACTCATGAAACTGCCCAGGCCATCAAGGGTATGCATATTTGAAAAGCCACCAAGTATGTGAAGGGTGCCAGTTTACAGAAGCAATGTGTGCCATTCCATCATTATAATGGTGGCATTTTTAGGTGCGCCCAGGCCAAACAGTGGGGTTGGATACAGGGTTGGTGGCCCAAAAGGTGTGCTGAATTTTTGCTGCACATGCTTACAAATGCAGAGAGTAATGCCGAACTTAAAGGTTTAAATGTAGATTCTCTAGTCATTAAGCGCATCCATGTGAACAAAGCTCCAAAGATGCTACACTGAACTTACAGAGCTCATGGGCAGATTAATTCATACACGAGTTCTCCCTGCCACAAGGAGATGCTCCTTACTGAAGAAGAGCAGATTGTTCCTACACCAGAAGAGGATGTGCAGAAGGAAAAGATATCCCAGACGAAACTGAAGAAACAAAAACTACGGTTCAGGAGTAAATTCAGCATGAAATAAATACTAATAAAGTAAAAGAACAAAAAGAATTTTTAAATTGTTGAAAGAGTTTAAATAATTAATAACCAGTCATGGTTTTAAAAAAATAAAACAATTGAAAAATGAGGCCGAAACTGGTTTGGCTCAGTGGATAGAGAGTTGGCTTGTGGACTGAAAGGTCCCAGGTTCAATTCCGGTCAAGGGCATATACCTTGGTTTTGGACACATCCCTGGTAGGCTGTGTGCAGGAGGCAACCGATTGATGTTTCTCTCTCATTGATGTTTCTCTCTCCCTTCCTCTCTAAAAAAATCAATAAAATACAATTTAAAAAAATAAAGAATGAGAAAAAAGAAAGATGAGGGCATTCATAAATTTAAATTCATTCATTTATAGATCTTAGATCATTATGTGACATAAAAGCCAATCACATTCATATTATATGTGTATTTTTTCACAATAGGCTTTCCCCCGTATTAGTGAAGAATATCTCACTATCACCTCTGTTGCAATCTACAGTTATGTTGAGGTGTATGAGACTGATAGCTTGTCATTTATTTTTTATTTTAGAGTTATGGTAATTATGTTTTATGAAGTTTTTATTGCTGTGCAGCCTGATGTTTATCTTTCATATTTCTGCTCCAGAATGTATTTGGTACAAGGTGAATAATTATGAATGTGAAAAAGAATTTACCAACTTCCTGGACACTATCATCAAGGCAGAGTGCTTCTTACAAGTAAGATTCCACTTGTACACACTCCATCACTTCTTACCAATGTATTTGGTTATCTATTGAATACCTATTCTTAGTGCTCAACATCCTTTGCAAACAATATTTGCTCAATTTAAAACTCGTTATAAATGGGGCCAAGTTGAATTGATGTTTGTTTTTATACTGTTGGACTTGAAGAAAATTATTTGTTAAATTATGCAAATAAGAGAGAATGTCCCATAATTTAAGAGAACAAACTGAAGATGCAATTGGATGTGTTCAATTAATTGAATTAGGTGGTAAGATAAATATCTTGGGGTCACTACTTGTGTTTTTATAATCAACAAACGCTTTTAAAATATTGAGTATGTTCCAGCCAATTCTTTGTCCTGGATAGCCCTGAATTGTACTGTAAGCTACAACTCAGGTATCATTGGGGAACATTTACCTAACACTGGTTTAAATGTTTGTTCTATGTGCTCCCTTAGCTCTCTTGCATTTACTTGTATCATGGCACTTTTAGCATCCACTAATATTTTTCTACACATTATGAGCACCGAGTGAGTTAGAACATGTTTAAATTTTTTTTCATGTACAGGTGTTCAGCTTGGTACCTGGTACAAAAGAGATGCTCAATAAATGTTGAATACATCTTTTAAAAAAATATATTGTTCAGGTTATTACAATTGTTTCTTCCCCCCCACCCCCCATAACTCCTCTCTATCAGGTTCCTACCCTACCCCCTGTCCTTGCCCTCGCCCCCCATTGTCATTCTCCATAGGTGGACGCTTTTTGTTCAGTCTTTTTCTTTACTTCCCACTCCCCTTTTCCCCTGAGAATTGTCAGTCCACTTCCTTTCTATGCCCCTGATTCTATTATATTCACAAGTTAATATTGTTCATCAAATTTTGTATTCTTTTGGTTTTTAGATTCACTTGTTGATAGATATGTATTTGCTGTACATAATTTTTATCTTTATCTTTTTCTTCTTCTTCCTCTTCTTAAAAAGTACCTTTCAGTATTTCATATAATTCTGGTTTGGCTATGGTGAACTTTAGCTTTTTCTTATCTGTGAAGCTCTTTATCTGACCTTCAATTCTGAATGATAGCTTTGCTAGGTAGAATAATCTTGGTTGTAGTTTCTTGCTATTCATCACTTTGAATATTTCTTGCCATTCCCATCTTCATAGTTTCTGTTGAGAAATCAGCTGACAATTGTATGGGTGCTCCCTTATAGGTAACTAACTGTTTTTCTCTTGCTGCTTTTAATATTCTCTCTTTGTCTTTTGCTCTTGGAATTTTAATTATGATGTGTCTTGGTGTGATCCTCTTTGGATTCCTCTTGTTTGGGGTTCTTTGTGCTTCCTGGACTTGTAAGTCTATTTCTTTCACCAGGTGGGGGAAGTTTTTGATCACTATTTCTTCAAATAGGTTTTCAGTATTTTGCTCTCTCTCTTCTTCTGGAGTACCCCATAATTCTGATGTTGGTATGCTTGAAGTTGTCCCAAAGGCTCCTTACACTATCTTCAACTTTTTGGATTCTTTTTTCTTTTTGCTTTTCTGTAGGAGTGGTTTTTGCTTCTTGGTGTTCCAAATTTTTGATTTGATCCTTACGATCCTCTAGTCTGCTTTTAGGACTCTGTATTATATTTTTTATTTCAGTCAGTGTATGTTTAATTTCTAGTTGATCCTTTTTCATGTCCTCAAGAGTCTCATCAAATTTATCGGCCTTTTCTAAGAAATTCTTGAAATACCTTATAACTGTGGTTTTGAACTCTATATTCAGTCTTTTGCTTTCCTCCATTTCCTTCAATTATGGCCTGCCTCTTTGTCTCCGCATTTTGGCTGCTTCCCTGAGTTGATGGAGTTGCTTTGTGTGCTAGGTGTCCTAGCAGGGCCCAGTAGCTCAGGCTCCCCAGTTACCTGAGGTGGACACTCTTGGTGCAGCCCTTTGTGGGCTGTGTGTGCAGTCTTGTTGTAGTTAAGCTTTGATTGTTGTTGGTATCACTGGGGGGAGTTGATCTCCAAACCAAATGGCTGGGAGGATCAGCATTGTCATTGCTGGAAGGGTTCTGTGCTCAGCCTGGATGGGGTGGAGTCTCAGGGTGGAGCAGACAGCCTCAGGGTCCTGTTCCCTGTGTCCCATGGCAATGGCTGCATGCACCTCTGAGAGTAGGCTGCTCTCGAGTTTCTCCTGCTGCCGGACAGTCCAGTTTCTCCCTGACTGGAACTGGATTTCAGTGTAGTTGGGAGGTTTTATTTTCCTCCCAAACTAGAAAGCTAGCCACGCATTTGCTGCCTGCCCTCTCTGGAGTCTCTGGGCGTAGCTGCCGTAAGTCTCCAAGCGCCTCTGCGAGTAAGCCAGCCACTTATTAAGCTGCCCGCCACGTGCAAGGGTCTCTGCACCTCCACAGCTCCTGAATCTCAAGTGTTCTTTTCTCTTTCCTTCTTAGTTGTAGAATTTCCACTCAGCCAGCTTTCCAGTGGTTCTGGACAATGCCCACTCTATCTTCCATTTGCAGTTTTAAAATTGTTGTGCAAGGCTGCAGTATAGGTGTTTATCTTATGACACCATCTTGGTTTCTCCTCTGAATACATCTTAAGGATTTGATGTGAAACAATGGAATTGGAAATTGGATGTGAATATTGGTGAAAATAAAGGCATACATTTAGGTTGACTTTTTAGGTTCCTGCTTGAAAGGATGATGATGGCATTCAGGGAGAGAATATAGGAGAAGCAGGCTTTGAAGGAAAGGTACATTTGGTTTTAAAGATGCATGTGGGACATGTAAGAGGTCATAAATAGTAGACAGTTAAATAAGAAATCTAGAGCTCGGGAATGAGATTTGGGATAGAGGTACAGATTAGGACTGCTCATGGCATAGGTGGTAGTTTTAGCTATGTTATGGATGAGATTGTTCAGAGAATTCATGTTATCAAAGAAGGTCGAGAATGGAGTTCTGGTGCACACTTCTATGTGTTTTTTTTTTAAATATGTTTTTATTGACTTCAGAAAGAGGAAGGGAGAGCTAGAAACATCAATGAGAGAGAATCATTGATTGATTGCTCCTACACACCACCTATTGAGGATTGAGCCCATAACCTGGTCGTGTGCCTTGACCAGGAATTTAACCGTGACCTCCTGGTTCGTGGTTTGATGCTCAACCACTGAGCTGCACTGGCAGGGCTGTTGTATACCACTTTTTAAGGCTCAAGGTGACAAAGGAAAAAAGGAAAGCCTTGGTTTTCCATCTTGGTGGAAACGTAAACAGCCTAGATGGAGCTGCCTAGAGTTTGGATTTGCTCTGTCATATCTAATGAAATTCCAGCCTTGTATACGTTTTGACTGTTTAAGTGGTTGCATGCACTTCAAAATAATAAAATTTTACTTATTTTTAAAGATATTCTGTAACTTTCTAGCTTCTTTCCAATTGATGAGGTTTATGGCATTTAAAAACTATGTTGATAAAGATGGCAATATACCCAAAAATTCATCATCTGATCCTTTTTATGGGGAAATTTGGCTTTTAATTATATTGATGACAAAATTAATCTAAGGGTAAAATAAGTATATCACAGAATAAGCTGATTGCTTAGAGAGCACTTAAGACTGAAGAGTTTTAAGAGTTATTATCAACTTGTGTTACAGGAGGGTTTTTATTCCTGTGAAGCATTCCTGTATAAGAGCCTTCCTCTCTGGGATGGCTTCTGTTGTCGATCACAGTTCCTTCAACTTGTGAGCTGGTTTCCTTTTAGCAGCTTCTCTGGTATGTATTATGAAAACTTAGAATAATACTTTATTCAATGTAATATTAATGAAAAGGATTCTGAATACTTTTTTTTTTTTAATTCCTAGAGGTGAAGCCATTTATATTTGATCGTCTGGCACAGCTCTTTTTTACATCAACCATTTATTTCAAGGTAAAAGGAAAACACTAAATACTATCTTGACTAGATTGAGTAGGGAATATTATCCTACGGCCAGTGGTACGATTCCAAACCCACATTATGGTAATGGTTTTCTAACAGGATTTTGTTGAACCTGGACTTGAGGTTCTACATTACTGAAATAAAAGTTAATGCATAATTTTATGTTTTTAAGATTTTGGTTGCATATAGTTCTTAAACTCTTTCCTCTTGTAGCAGATAACGAAGTGAATTAACAGGTTGCAAATAAGTATTAATAAAAACCAATTGGGAAATACTTAAGTATATTTAGTTTGATTATTGTGGTCAATATTTTTGTAAATACACTTATTCATTTCACCATTATTTACTGAGCATCCACTATGTGCTAGACACCCTTTTTGACACTGGGAAAACAGTAATGACCAATGAAAACAAAACTCTCTGTGACACTCATACTATATATTTATAATATAGTCGTTTTCTGCTAATAATTGTTCCAACCTTATATTATTACTTGTGTTACTATTTTGGGGTCTCCAAAAAGACTGCTGTGGCTTCCAGGAGTTCTACCTGAGTTTGAGAGCTACTTTCTTATAGAATGATTATTCCTATTCCAGAAGAGTGACAACATAAATAATATTTCTTTTATAACTTTTCTTCAATTTAATTCACCTACTGTTGGCCACACTTATAGGAAAAATATCTTATCCTAGAGTTCGTTATAATCAAATGGCATTTTATTAATTACCTATCACATTAATGTGGATTTGAAATTTATTTCTATTATTTATAATTTACTACTAGACCAATACACACCACTTCCAGCTATTGTATTTTCAAGAACTTCATTTTATAGCTTTTTGTGATTCTCTTCTGATTTTCTAATTTGGTAATTCTTTATTTCTTCTCTTATTCCACCAGTCTAGAGAACTATTTATTTATAAATATTATGTTGAACCATTTTTTTAGATGAGGGATATATTTGTATTTGAGAGTGGGAGATGAGGAAAGGAAGGGGTTGAGAAAGGGAAATAGATAGTGGGTTAAGGACAGAATTCAGGAATACTTATTTAATTCTCAACTAAAAGGCAAGTCTATGAGGGAACCTTTTCAAGAAGTATTAAAATATAATTTTATTAACCAATGTTACTCAAGTAAATTTAATTTGTAAAAAGTATGAAAAGAATCCGGAAAACAATAGTGCCAAGTAAATGAATAATACAGGATATCAAGGAATGAAGTAATAATATTGCCACTCTCCCAGGAAGGTCCAGAAAGATAAGGGCCAAAAATTGGGGGGGGGGAGGGAGTGATAATTCAGAAGTTTTAGCTATGTTTGTGAACAGTTTCATTGGAGTGTGGTAGAAGCCAGATTATAGAACTTGAGGAGTCAATGACAAGTGAAGATAAGACAGTAAGTATAGACTATGTTTCCAAAAGTTTAGCTGAAAAGAAGAGATAGAAAGATAGCTATAGTATGACTTTGAATCAAAGGAAGATTGTGGATTTTTTTTTCTTTTTGTTTTTTGTCTCCAGAATGATACAAACCTGAGCATGTTTATAGTTAGAATAGAAGGAACTAGTTACG